TTATGAATTCAATAAAGATTTGTTTTACCATCATTCCGCTATTAAAAACAAAACTATTTTTACACATTTCTTTTATATTTTTGAGAGTGTATATCTTTCATTTCGAATTCTTTAAAAAACTCAGAATATTGTTAGTTTATTTATATATGGATTGACGTAACGGATATTTCTGATTAAATGTTTTAAATGTGTGAAGTAAAAATTTACTTCAAAATAAAAAATGCGCAGCAGAATTACGAAAAACGAAGTATAGAGAGAACATATTATACGATAACAATAATTAATATTCTTATAAGTTGGCAAAAAAATGATATTTTGAAAAGAATTATAATCAAGAATAAATATGTAACCGATTACTTTTATCGTTGTTTAAATTCGTAATTTTCTATAAACATATTATAATAATCAATCATATTGATACCTTGATAAAATTCATATTTTACGCGTTGAATAAGTGCCTATTTGCTTTTTCCTTTAATAAACGATTAGGTTTATAAAGAGAATCAATTAGAACGCATCTTACTTTTTCGATATACCTTAAAATGTGCTTGAGGATATTTAGATAGTTTAATAAATAAAAATAAAACAAGTGTACTCTTTGAATATTTGTATCCTAGTTGAGCAGAATAAAAAAAATTTATGTGTGTTCTAAATCTGTATTATAAATTGCAAACAATAATATTGCATCTTTTTGCAGCACAGTAAAAATAATTATTAACGATATCACTTCCGTGTTACAATTATTTTATTATATATACCTATTCCTGTCATTAGTAGTAAAATGATCCCTGTAAAAAAAAAAAAAAATATTTTCACCTCCTATGCAATTTTATACAATTAAATTGTTATAAAAATATATTCTTTTTATTACTTGGATATTAATAATTTATATTAATACATTGTTACTCCATTTATACAAATTATATAATGCAGTATTTTGACCAGGCAATGTAGGTTTTATATTATTAAAAAAATGTAAACAAATATATAATTCTTGTACACACAGGTAATCAGATAAATGTCGGATATATCCGGCATCAGTACAAAAAAGTTTCAGTAGGATAATAAAATCAATCCTTGTCACAAATAAGTACGTAAGTAAGTAAAGGATAATATTTCTGAAAATACTTTAAAGTTTACGTAAGTATTTTATAAGCAGAAGCGCAATAAATTTATTCAAAAGTAAATTTAAGTCCGTTTGTATTACTCAGTGTTCAAATTCTTAATCCCTATAAACAGTTTGTAATGCTGAAATTTATTGAAACTTTAATCAAGGACAAATATTCATTTTCAAACATCATTTCCTTACCTCTTCTGTCATTAAACAGTTGAGTTTAAATACAGAATCGATCATTGTCTCTTAGACAGTCAGAATATATGCTACAATTTTTCTATTTTTATTCTTGTTAACATGATACAGTTGTAGCAAAAACTTTTAACTTAAAATTCGACACTCTAATTTACCTCTCGTGTGCATAAAANTATTTCTAAGTTTATTACGAAGAATACAAAGTGTTCAACAGAGAAAGTTTATTACAGGAAACAAAGGAAAACATTTAACAAGTTATTAAATAAGGTGATATAAAAATCAAAAGGTTTTTATTGTCAATTAAATATTGTGTAAAATGAATATAATAGAGGAGGGTGCACGTTTCAATAATTGGTTATTCCGCAAGTTCGACCCAAAATCGAGTGTTTTCTTAAGATGGCTTAACAGTTTTGAATATGTAATCGAATTATCTCAAACAAAAGATGATGAAAAAGTTAAGTGTTTATTAGATATGATGGAACCATCAGCCCTAGAACAAATTAAGAAAAAATTACATCCTTCCAAACCTATTGATCTTCCATACGATAATATTATAACCGTATTGGTGAAAACTTTCTCGCATTTTAAAGCAAGTGAGGTACACAATCATCGTTATTTATTACGAAAGCAATTGCCGTATGAATCAATAGAACATTATGTCCTTGCATTAAAAAAGTTATACAATAAATGCACTCCTWACGTGAAAAATTCGGTTAATATAACAAATCGATTCGTGGAAGGATTAATGGACGAGGAAACAAAAAAATGTTTGAAATGCGATAAAAACATAACATTCTCCATAGCAGTAGCTATAGCTAAGCAAACGGAATTGGCTGAGCAGATAAAAAATTTAGAAATACAATCTTCCGAGTAAAATAATCTAATGCGACTATATTTAACTGGAACATAAAAAAAAATCAAAATGACAACGAAGCATAATTGACTTTGGCTGTTCAGCTATTAATAATTTTTAATTCTCAGATATTTTAAAGTTTCCTAGTTATTATGACAGCAATATAACAAATAACGAAATCTTCGACGAATATACACTTTTTTATTTGTACTGTGAATTGTTACATATGCTACTACAAAGCATGTTTATTCCGTTCATATTGATCGCTAAATTAGGAWAACAAGAAATAATTTACAATAAGAATTATTATTTTATTTTAATACAATTTTACTCCATGTTATATTACAACGATTAAATATTTTTATTTTAGTAACACTACGTTATAGTTTAGACGTTAATATTGTAGTGTTAATAGTAAATGTTCGATGAACGAAAATGAAAAAAATTCTTTGTTCTTTTTAAATTTATTGTTATTTATAATAGTTTTTTGTAATGAGATAAGTATAACCACTAAAATATATAAAAAATATGTGTTTAAGGTTAATTATGTTAGAAATATATATATACATTTATATATTTACGTTACTGTATAAAACAGAAATAAAAAAATTTTTGGATTAACAGATTAAAATTTAAATACATTAAAAACACGTGAGTGAAAGACCGAATGTTTAGAATTATTCTTATAAATAAATATTTTCGACATACACAACAAAGCGATCTTACAAATATAAATATATAATAATATTTATACATAATATTATTATATATTATTAATATATTATATATACATATAAATACCGTGTTAACAATTTTTAGCATTTATGAATTTAATAAAAGTTTGATGTAACATTATGCCACAACTTAAAACAAAACTATTTCTACCCATTTTTTTTATATTTTTAAGAATGTATTTATTTCTACTCAGATTCTTTAAAAGAGAAACTCAAATTATAATTAGTTTAATTGTATAAAAATTGACGTAACAGAAATTCCTGATAATTTTTTATAAATGTCTGTAGTAAAAGCTTACATGAACATAAAAAATGGGCAATAAAATTACGAAAAATGAAGTATAGAGAGAGCATATTACAATAATGAATATGCTTATAAGTTTACAAAGAAAATGATTCTTTAAGAARAATTATATTCAAATGTATTTAAGTAACCGACTGCTTTTATCGTTGTTTAAATTCGTAATTTTCTAAAAACATATTATAATAATTATTCATATTGATACCTTAAGAAATTCCAAATTTTAAGCGTTGAATAAGTGCGGTTTTGCTTCTTCTTTTAAAAAACGGTTGGATTTATGAAGAGAATCAATTAGAATTAAACTTACGGTTTAGGAAAACGTTAAAATATGCTTGAGAATATTTAGATAGTTTAATAAATTACGATGAAACAAATTGACTCTTTTAATATTTGTATCCTAGTTTAGCAGAATAGACAAAATTTGTACWAAATCTGTATTTTAAATTGTAAACAGTAATACCGCATCTTATTCTAACACAGTAAAAATTGTTATTAACAATATCACTTCTGAATTACAATTATTTTATTATATATATATATATATATCTTTTCCTCTCATTTGTGGTGAAATGATCCCTGTAAAAAAAAAACAAATATTTTCACTTCGTATGCAATTTTACGTAATTAAATTGCAATAAAAATATTTTTGTTTATTAAGAGATGAAAAATTTATATTAATGAATTTTTAACA